GCTGCCGGCGTGCCAAAGAAAGCATTTTGCAAGTGTCTTTGATGCGATGCAGTGACCTATTAGCAAGCTGAGAGCTGAGGCCCAGGGAAGGTGCTTGCTGCATGAGAGAAGCTGTTGAAGGTACTGAGTTGGCAGGAAGGAGAGGGAGGGAACTTGGGAAGCGGACAGAAAAATCAGCAAAGTAATGTAAAGGCAAGCATTGCTGTGGGAACTGCCTGACAGTCACCCAGGGTAGAGTCCAGGCAGAGCTAGTCCAGACTGCTGCCGGTCACCGAGCAGAGACGAGAGAGAGCAAGTACTGAACGTGCACAGAAATCCCCCCTGCTGAGAAGCCCCCCTTAGCACAGTTACCCACCGTAAGCCAATAAACTATGGTTTGAACAAATACCATGGGTAGAGTTTGGGGAATTTCTTGAAAGCCCTGGTCCTAAAGTCTATTACTTTGAAATTAGTAATTAGGCTTCAAACGTGTCTAAAGCGGGATTTAAGGAGTGGATGTGTCAGGTCATATATATTCTGATGTGCTGTAGGTCAAAGCCTCTAAGAAACAGCAGGCAGTAACACGTCCCCCATCCTTTCGTTGCTGCCTTATGCCTAACTCTGGTTTTCCCTCATCTCACACCAGCACACGGTAAATTCCTCTGACCTGTCACATTTATCTTTGAAAGTGACTTCTCAGGCAAGCAGAGGATCTCTCCTCCTCTCTCTCTCTCTCTCCCTGAGCTCAGAAGAGCCTCCTCCTCTTTTGTAACGTTATCATGAACCCGAAATCGGTTGTATCTATTTTTTCCACCATTTTATGAAAAATTCGAGCCAACTTTTACCTGCCTGCTGTGTGCGATGCTAGGACAGAGACAGCGAGGAGGAAAAGGCTTATGAAGCCAGTATGACTGCATTTAACTTATGTTGCTTGTTTCTCCCTCTCCTTGGAGAGACGTACAAATGAAAATTCAAGAGACCAGAATAAAAAAAGCGTGGCTAGAGAGAGGGTGGCATTAGCAACAAAATGGGAAAGGACATTTTGTTCGTGTCACAACAGGATCTATTTTAAGAGCTTGTTGTATGTTTCATGTCATAAAATCACTTCTGGGATTATTTTTTCTAAAAAAAAAAAAATAATGCCCATGCCCACTGCAGAGAGCACTAAAATAGTCCACTCCAACCACTTCAGACAGGATGTATGGAAACAATCAGCATTAGTTTGAGGTAAGAACAAATAGAGGCAACTATCTGGTGACGCAGAATAAAGAGAGAGAAGAGCGGGATTTTGCTCAAGTAGATTGAAAGAGCCGGTGGCATTGGAAGCGATTATTAGGGATGATAGAAGTGGTAATTTGTTTGACCTAGTAACTGCTCTAATTGGTGGCCATCCCTTTGAATACGAATATGCTGTTGAATATTTCCAGTAACTCTCCTGGAAACAAAACAAATGTGTCCAGATCTCTGGGTGGGAGGAGACTGCTTTTACTGCTGAGGCCGAGTGGGGGGTCAGATGCCATCAAGTGCTTTGAAAACACACTCTCTCTTCAACTGGCAGGAGCATCTCAAAATTATTGTGTTTTTTCTATGTACAGCTCTAATTAAAGGCCTAGGTTTCAATTAGTTTCTTGTTTTCCTGGCCTATAACATTACACGTCAGTCAGAACATTCTGTTTTAAGCAGAAAGCTCACCTGTAAGGGCCCAGCCAGTATACATACTGCTCTGAGATGTTTTTCATTATAGATGAGGTGTGATTTTAAAAATTTATATAGGAACGAGGCATCCAGGTCCTACTGAATTTTACTTTGATGTAAGCATAAAACCCACCTAGATATCTTCAAAGTGTCTTGAAGGGCAAAACGTAACTGTGCTTCAAATTCATTTTCAAAGATGACTGGTCAACTTTGTCAGAACACTTTCAGATTTTAGGTTTAAAAATATTTTTAAATTGACATTTTCCGATTCCAGTGTTATCTCCTCCCGAAGTTCCCTCAAGCTAACACCAGTTACATCCAGCCTAGTGCATGTACAGATCCTTCTCAAGTGTTCCACCTCTGTCAACGGGACATGAAGTGTAGGTGTGATACACACATCCAGCAGTCAAGTTCTGCTGATGACCAGACATTAACTTTAAAAATGAGTTAGTAAGTTGTGTAAACGTGATTGGGAAGGAGCCTTTTTTCCTGATGAACATTATTCAGGCTCTCAGGTGTCAGAGGGACCTCATCTCTTTGTCCAGCCTTCTACAGCACCTCTCCCATGGGTTATCATCTCGACAGGAACCTGGTTCCCCCCCAAGGAAAAGCTTCTCTTTCCAAGTATAACAAGGGAGATACCTATTGAAATGATGACTCAGCAACTGGCAATGTGTGAGGTAAACTTTATCACCTACATTCCCCAGGAGTCCCTCTGCCCTTAATTTCCTTCGTCTGACCCCTCCCTCTACTCCCCCCGCCTCTGCTTTGGGCAGGTTATCTGACCATGTGGGTTATCTCAGGAATAATTTTCAAGCATCGTTACAGTCAGAGAAGGGCAGGTGACATGAAGTGCAAGCTATGTGGGCAAGATGCTGTTAGCTGTCTTTCAGGTTAATTTGTAATGCTTTGAAAGATGACAGCCCAACTTCACTGACGTGGTGTTTTATCTGAGGAATAAACAGAAGTCCAAGCCGGGCTGCTGTTTCCTGTCTTTTTCTCTCCTGTTAGGTAGGCTGTTGTAAGAAACATTGTATTTTCACAGAGTTAAATGACACAGTAACTGAGAAATATATCTTTATTATTAGAATGTTTATATTCTAAAAACTTTTATCTGGGGTTACAGTACAGTCCAATCCAATTTCTTTCTAATTAGCTAACCTGGCATTTGTTCAGCAAGTAACTGTAACTTAGGATTTGATAAGTTTAAACTTCTTTTACTCTCTTTTTCTCTTCGTCCCCCAAAAGGACAATTTACAGTCAAGATTTTGGCGTGCTAAGTAATAAAATAAACATCTCGATTGTGAACTAGTAGTTGCACTTAACTTTGGTGACTAACAGAGTAGATATGCATTTAAAAATAAAAATATTCTTTCAGTGTCAAGTGGATAAAGGAACGGATGAATATATTTTACTTTATTATCTTCCTAAAGTTCACCTTTATTATCTTCAAAAAGGGTCATTTTTTCAGGTTTGTAAAAGGATGTGGGAAGCAATAGAAAAAAACCTAAAGGATGTTTCTATTTTGTGGCTTGCCTAAGAAAGTTGTCGTAACATACGATCTGACCCAAACCCATGCAACACAATTAACAACTCCTTTTCACCACACACAATGCCTAGCATAAGGCCAAGTGTGGCCTGTGACGTGGTTAAATAAACATAAAATGTCATTACAACCTAAATACCTGAATTGGTTTTACACTGTGACTTTCTACTGAAACAGTGTTGAGAAACTTTAAACATATATCTGATTGTTCCATATACACTATTTAAAATAAAAGTGAGGAGTCATACTCTCTTTCTTCACTCTGCTACTTTCTGGGAGCTCTATATACCGACAAATGTATGACATCTGTAGTTACCTGATCCTAGCTGACTGATCGGTCATCTTCTGCTTTAAAAATATTGCAACTCAGGTGCTTATTGCAGCAGTAATCATAGTGATACACTGTCTGTTAATACTCAGTTCTGCTTACAGTCATAGTTATAAAAAATGAAAAACATTTTTCACAAATCTTTGTACACTTACTGTAAAAATCACCTTCCACAAAAACAATTTACATCTGCTACGAGCATTTAAAAAATAAATTACACGGACCTGTCTCACCTATCCTTTCTTTTTCTTGAGAAAACAAATCTCATCAGTAACATCAACAGGATGGTCATACCTGTAAACATGGCATAAGGATTCATGTTACCAAAAAACTGTACACAGAAAATCATCTTGATAAATACTCTGATAAATAAGGATCCCTTTAATTGGCACAAACCAATGTAAACATGTGCATTCCTATCCTGCAGTCATCTCTAACTTCCTTGCTCTTGGGCTTTTAGTTGAAATTCAGGGATCTCTCAGCCCTGTAAAAATTTTTCAGAGATAAAAATGTGAAGGGTTTCAGTTATGATCATAGTCTTTTTAGGCCTCGGCTAAAACGAAGCACAGGCATTGAACATGACGCCATGCAACGTAACACGTTGCTTTAGCCTTTCACTTGCTGTGCCACAGCTGGTAGCAACCTGCTGCTGGCACTTGGTACTGAAATTTCTCCTCTGGCTCAGTGCAGGCTGTACGTGTCAGGGCTGCGGTACCAGCTTCTAGTCTCCTCGCTGAGTGACACCAGAGGCTGGAATGTAAAGCAAAACCATAAAGCTTCTGGAATTTGAAAGCTGTGCTTGAGACACCGGGGCAGCCCAAACTTGTATCTTCAGACAACGTGGCTGCTGGCAGGATTAAGCGGTTTAATGTATGTAATAGAATGTGGAAATGTGCCCAACCACGCGTATGGCAGAAAATCCAGGGTAGCAATCTACTGCTGTAAACAGCCTTCAAGCAACTCAAGTAGACCTTTTGCATCTAAGTATGTCTGTGCGGGTAGCAGTTAATCATTGATCTTACACCTACCTAAGCTGAAACATTGAGTATTTAGGTGCCGATTAAATGGATTCTTCTGAACTTCAGCAACAGCACAGATGGAAAATAAATTACCAGGCCACATGCTGCCACTAAAATAATTAAACATACAGCCACAGTACTGCCCAGCAAGATAAATGCAGTCATTTAGAATAAGCTCTATAAATAAATAAATAAATAAATAGAAAAACCTCCATGTAAACTGAATAAAATGTCACTTCTCTTATAGCGCCCAAAGAGGGAATGGCATTACTAAGTAATATAAATCTTCCATACTGGATATATTTCTATATATATTATATCTGATATGTTTTGGCATGGCCAGATGGATAGGAAAAAGTAGGATGATTAACTTCATTCAGTATTTGTTCTGTTGAAGCCAAGCTCCTGCATTACTATGCATTGCTAACCATTCCTATAGCGGTTTGGCCTTTTTACCCATCTTGGATTTTGCGCTCACTTTCCTGGCAGAGCAGACTGGTTCACCTTTTTTTTGTGCTCTCCATATTTCTCTTGAGCAATCAACAGGTTCATAGAAGCATTTCACTGGCTGCAAGCTGGTTTTTTCATCCTTTGCTTTTTTCAACAAGATTCTTCCTTTTTGAAAGGAATGAGGCTTTGTGTCAGGGATGTTATACGAAACGTGTTGACTTCCTCGGCTCCTGAAATTAATAATAGTGATTATTAATAACTATTATTCAATCTTGTAAAGTGAAAGGTCTCCAAAATGTCCAAAACCCATACATTTTTGAAGACAGAAATAGCCTTGTTTTACAGGACCAGGCTGAAAGTTAAAAACGGAGTTGCAAGATGAATTACATTTCTCAATACTCAAAAGCATTCCTCACTATAAGAACCCCTACACGTGTTACTGGTGGACTCTTAATGCACGTTCATCTACACTTTAATTCAGATAGCATTCTGCTGATTTTGGAGTGCTGAGACCTCACTGAGGTCTATATTCTCATAACTTGGTGATCTACAGGGATTTTAAAGATGCGTATGTTCTTGGCAACCTTCTGCGAAGAACAAACATCCCATGGTCTTTGGAAGACCACACAGCCCCAATAACAGTAGAAAGTGGGTGCAGGAACTGTAGGAACTTCTTGGTGGGATCTCAGCACTGCCCTGGACTGTGGCTGCTACTAACAGCCAATAGCTCAGGAAACTCCACGCTCTGCCTTTGTGCTGGCCACCCATCTAGGGAAACTTTAGCTTTGCTTTTAGGCTTTGATTTGAAATGGGAGAAGAGGAAAGGGGAATACAGAAACTGGTGTGAAGAAGGGTACGAAAGCTTAAAGGCCAAAGTAAGCTGAATTCTTTGTTCTCTCTGCAATGGTTCAGGCCCAGCAGCGTTTGCTGAAATCGGTGAGCTCAGGTGGAGCGACAGCACAGTGCCTGGTGCTGCAAAGGCTAAACAACGCCCTCTGCTCTGAAATTTTACGTTGAAACTGCAGTTCCACAGTTTAGCTAAGTAAGATCATTACAGGCCTTTTTAACAAAATCTTGAAATGTTTTACAGCAGATACATGTAGTGTAACAGCAGCACTACGAACGTAAGGCACCAGCTCATGCCTGCCCAGCTACTGTGACTGAAGTGAAGAACAGATGTGCTGATGTACAAGTCGATCTCTTAAGGGTTCCCATAGGGCTGTTTTCCATAGCTCGTTATTTCTGGAAACCACGTATCTGTAGTATTACTCCTCCTGGGAGTTAAACAATATTGCACACTTGAAAAAGCCAGTTTTGGAAAAAGCTGTGGTTGTTCAAGGGTGTACAGTGCAAGCCCTCTCCTGCTCTTTAAAAGACCAGAAGAGTGTCACGGAAGCCTCTCTCTTTGATGGTGGGAGGCAGTGAGGGCCAGTCAACAGCACAGGAACCAAGGCTTATCTACAGAACAGTTTTACCTGGTTGGCAGCTTTGCCAACCAGACTTTGCTATGGGGATGTTTTGGGGGGAAAATGCTGTGCAGGTCCAACCTGAAGCTTGCAGGTGCTGTGCCGTGCTGGCCTGGTGCAGGCCTGGGCTCTGGCCACTTGTTAGGGGTTAGAAACGGTTCGTGTAAATGCACAGGTGTTGGCTACTCCGGTTTATGATCACTTCTTGGGCATTGCTGTTACAACTCATTACTTAGTTGTTGTTAAAAGATGTAGTGCTCTGTTTTTCTCAGATGTTGTTATGGTGAAAAAGTTACATAATTTATTCCCAAAGCACATGCAGGCATTGTTGCAAGTGATTGCAGGTGATGTTAGTCACTCCTCTGGTGCACTGAATGATGCCATTAAAACCAGCAGAAGGTCAAGGTTAATATGATCAGAGGGGATTGCCTGAAAGAGCTAAACTGTATTTAAATTGAACGAGTTTATGGTAGAGAAGATGAATGTCTGTCCCTAACTCACAGTCAGGATAAGAAGGTATCTAAGACGGATGAAGATGCAGGTCATTGCACATGAAATGCAACACTGCCAGCCCCAGATGCAGGAAATGTTTTTCCATTGAAAGCGGCAGCTCCTTGATACAAGTGACTGTGAGAGTCTGAACTTCTACTCAAACATATTCCTAATCTGTCACATTATGGAGAAAGACTGAAATGATCTGACTAAATGCACCTCACTGCCACAGGCACTTAAGAACAGTCCTATTCTTGCTGCATTTCACAAACATCAGGTATTTTTCAAGACAGGTCTCATGATTTCGAGACACCTAATTCTTAGCTTCTTCACAATGGGAGCTGGCATTTAAAGTTAATTTAGGCACAGATGTGCCGGCAAGTCTCAGTGCCTTTGAGAAATGGCTAGTGAGCATCAGCAAAGGTCTGCCATGCCTTCAGTGGGGCATGTCCTGAAAACCACCAGGAGAAACTGGAGAAAAGGAAGAGGGATTGCAAGTCCAGCTATTGATCCCAAACAATGTAAGCCATCAGCGGCCCCAAACCCCCTGAGATTACACTGAATTTTCTGGATGGGTAGTAACACTTCCAAATTTTTTTTAACTGGTACATATCATTAAAACCTCATTTTATGTACTGAGCTGAGTAGAGCTCTTGAAACAGGTGGTGTGGTCAGTGCAAATGCTGGATTTATCCACAGAACAGGCAGAGCAAAATAAAACTTTCCTACCCCTCTAAGCATCCTCTCCTCTATTCTCCCTACTTCATAGGACAAGTTGGGATATTTTTGATCTGGTAACTCCAAATAAAGGCTACTACTAAATTCTAGTTTTGGCAGTGTCTTTTAAAAGGAGAAGTATATCAGTAGTTAAACAGAAACCTCTAAACAATTTCATATATGCCTTTGAACTCCCACTATTTGTCAGCAATTAATGGGTTTTACCAAACTGCGTTATATTTAGGCTAAAGACTTGTCAGTGGAAGGACTCATCTCACTGAGTCATTGAATTCACTGGTTATATTTTAATTCTATTTTCCTTGATTCCAATCATATTAAGACATCTAGGAGCCTGAAAAGTGTATACACAGTCAACTCAAAGTCTGCTTTGGACAATCAAGTTTTTCCAGAATCTCAAATCAGTAAGAAAAAAAAAAACAAACTATAAAAGCTATGAAAAGAAAAAGTAGAAAAAACAAAGCTAAAGCCCCATGCTCTTAATTATTAATGCAAACACTGCTTATCAGCAAAAGGGCATTTGGCCACTTGCCTGCTAGGACTAAGATATATGAAAAACAAAAACAACCCAAAGAGCAAAAAGCTCCATCCCCCAACCCAGTAGGCTATACTTTGTATTTTTAGTTTATTTTCCAGCCCATCCATCTGTTCATGTGTGTCTCAGTCTTCCAGTAATTCTTGAACCCATTGGTCAAACACAAACAAATCTGGCAGGGACACAGAAGTCCCAGATCCGTGGTGATGCAACAGGTTTCAGGGCAATGGGAAAAAGATCCCAACTCGTGTCCCCACTAGGAAAGGTTGCCCTGAGGAAGGAGGCACTGCCTGATCATCTCTTCGCCAGGCAGCATGATGCTCCAAACCAGCCACTGGGACTCATGACCAAGTTGCAAAGACATGAGAAACACGCACAATTAGTTCTGCTGCTCCCCGGACAGCTGCTTGAGTAACCTGAGATGTTCTTAGTGCCCATGCTTTGTCGGGGCACTTGTTTGCTTACACGTGATTTTTAAGTCGACAGTGTTACTGTCAGGAAATGACAACTGTCTCTTTCCTACCTACAGAATGTTAAAGATATTTTCAGCTGAAACTTGGCCTGTGTTTGCTGAAGAGATTCAATGACTGTAGCTTTGCAATAGGCTGTTATAGTCAGGAGGAAGTAGTTCT